CTCGGCAGCCGCGTTGCAGGCACGCTCGCGTGCGTTCAGCTCGCGGCGACCCGGGCGATTTCGTGCAGCCGACTTTATCAATAACCTTCTCAAGAAAAACGTGAACCCTTTCGAACCACGATTCTTTTCGCCTTTTCTCCTCCTTCCCTCCTTCCGTTCTCTCCCTACTTCAAAAAAAAAAAACGATCGCGTCAGTCACAGCAGTTGAAATAAAAAAAGTTTGCGTTAGCTGGGAGCAAAAATAATGGAGCATCAGATGTGGTAGAAAATGAATAGTAGAAAGCAACAACGAAACTCACCACGATAGACTAGGAGACAGATTCACTTCGAGCAACCATGGCTTCAGTTGATCATCGACAAGAATGTCGAAGCCAAACAGCTCAAAATTAGTTCCTACATGTGGTGTTGTAGTGCGACACGCTGATGTAACACGATTTTGTACAGAAAGTAAGCTTTTTACTACGATATCTTCTATACGCAACATTAACACTGAAAAGAAAAAAATAATTGATCTATAGCACTAATCAATTGATTGTAAGTTCTTACTTTTAGCATCAACGCCTTGTTTTTCCAGGTGACGAAGAAGCGCACCTAATGTCCACTTATGCCCAAAATCTTCACAAGCCATACTTTCGTTGCTGGAATACTCTTTGAAGCAGAAAAAGGGAAATAAAGCACAGAAAAAGGACAAAACTCCAAGAGGTTGAACAAAGTGAACAAAGCTGGAAACATACCGGATAAAATGCGAATTATTTTTGTTAATGGAGTAGTTCGTCAAATGTACAAATGCATCCTTCGAATCTGCTTCGCTACAGTATTTCTCCGATGCAACTCTAAAATGCGCGTAGTGAACAGACCGACAAGGTGTATTGAGTTGTCCTACCGAGTCAGCCCTTCCGAATAAACATAAGCAACAAGAGGAAAGAATGATGTTACAGCTACGTAGATCCGAAGGTCAAATTTATGTCCATCAATAAGTAACGGGTTCTCAATGTAGCGAGAGACCAACAGCGGCTCGTTTTGAGGGATTTCTTGATGCTAAAAAAATTCAAACGTCAACAAAAGTATTAAAGAAAAAATTTTGAAATGAAGCTCAGAGCAGAGTGATTAAAAACCAAAGGTAAAAGAATGGAAAGCCGTCAAATGATATACCTTGTTGGCGAAGAAGATACCCCTGCCTTGCGACGAACTAACAGGTTTAACTATATAAGTGAAATCAGACATCGATTGCTCCATAGCTGTTTCCAATAATGAAACATCCCGTGGAGTAACAAAATATTCAGGGACCTAAGACTTCTAGATTCGTAAGGTGTGGTATAAAAGCAGATTTAACTCACAAAACTATAGGCGTCACCAAATATAGCAGCTGATCGCGCTAAATTGTCATACAGTTTGTCTTTCCGGGTAAGTTCAGTCGATCGAGGGAACTGGTTGATACGTTGCCTAAAATCTTGGTCAGATATCAAATTTGACTAAAACCAGAGTTGACGATAAGGCGACAGTTACCCTAATTTCACACAAATAAGGCTTTTAAGATTTTTCCTAGGATCGTCTCTACCCCAAACATGCCAAAATACTTCGTGACCAGCGGACCGTATACATGCTGCATATTGCTCAAGAGTATAATGCGTCATAAGTTGTGTTTCTCGAAATACAGCGAGGCGGCTGTGCGACTCGGCTGAAAATTTGAAAAAGTGCGCTTAATATGCGTGAAAATGAAGTAGTATGACTACTACGGCGCAAGCCAAAGACCGTGTCTATTGGGGAGCACCTTCGTCAAATGAGTTTGTAATGCACACTAGCGTCGCGTACAAGTTAGAAATATCCGAACAAAATTTTGGAAAAACATGAAAAAAACAAGAATCGAAATATGATCACCATCAATTCAAAAAAGAAACAATGGAAGAAGTTTAGACTCACCATGGTAGAATAGTTCGCATACGTGTTGCTTTCACTGAAGAACCACACCAAAGCAGATTGAATGAAGGATTCTTGCGTGAACACTAAAAAGCAATGATTTGTCGGCTTCTAACTCAGTAAACAGAGAACAGACCACTTACTTGTGTGAATCCATGACTATGCAGCACAGTTTTTACAAGCTTAGTGTCGCTGTTGATCTGCAACGAAAAAATAATTACGAATTGCATGCAGGATGAAAGCCAAAACTGACCATTTTGAAAGCGAGGTTGTAGTTCAAACCGGTATGGGTATATTTCTCTCTGAGTTCTGCTGCAGTTTGTCGTCCAATATGGTTTAAGCTATCGGGCGTAAACGTAAGATACTGAAAAAAAGATAATAGATGTGACTACAAATCAAAACTGATATACGTATCGAGAGTCTCACCTCTATCTTCCTAGGCTTGCTTTCGGCACCGAACAGTAACGTTCCAGCATCGGCGCAGCCAGGTATTTCCTCCCTGTTGTACAGTAAAATTATCACTAAGGATAGTTAGCCTAAGCTTTGTGAGAAAAAAAAACTGCGCAAAAAAGTCTTCAGAAAGAGGCACACGTTCTATTCTACTGCCTTTCCAAGCCGCGTCCGAAAATCAGTGCAAAATATGCTGCATGCGCCTTTCTCATAATTCTTACATGATTATTTGAACGGTAATATTGAAAAGGAAAGAGGTGGAAAACCAGCCAACCCTTCTATAATCAAAATGATTTTCAATTTTTTTTCAAAATACAAATCGCCCACTGCCAAAACTCCATAAAAAACAAGTAATAACTTCCTTCTAATGTGTTCAATGATTTATACCCGCGAATCTCATTGAATACTAGCTATACAGCGACTTATGTGCCAAAAATCCCTGGAGGGTGGACGTTCACCGTGACGTCACCG